CACGCTGGTTCTCCCTCTCCTCTGGGCCTGAGACAGGATCTGCTGCAGCCTGACAAGGATCCTGCAGGGAGTGCAGCAGCAAGCAGTGCTGGGGCCCACAGGCCAGTCAGGAGTGGAGAGGGACACCAGGAAATCACGTAAAAGCAGCTGAGGGTTGGGAGCAGGTTGAGTGGCTGGTGGGTGAGATTGTGCGTCATACAGCTTCTGGACCCTAAAACTTGGCCAAAAAGTCTTGGGAGACTATAGCAGGCAGGATCTATGCAATGATTATGGGCTGGGACCCCTTTGCCCTGAGACAGGCCTTGGGGGCAGGGCAAGGGATTAGCTTTGAATCTAGGTGGACAGCAGCTGAGAGTGGTGGAAGGATCAGCCCCTGTGTTAGGTGGGAAGGCGGGATGCTGGGCAGAGGCCGGGGTGGTGTTGGTAGCTCACAGGGAGGGAGATAAACGGCACAGCTACCATTAGCGAGGTATTTACACATATAAACGGCACCTTATCTGGAACGGCACCCATTGCCCAGGGGCTGAAGCTGAACTGTGTAGCTGAGTCTAACATTCGCTCTGAGTGATGCTTTTGATCACTACATCTACAATCTCTTTATCTGGCTGCTAGCAGTATGATCCCCATGTCATGGACGGACTGAGCCACGCAGTGGCAAAGTGATTTACTCAAGGCCATACAATGAGTAGGCGGTAGGGCTGAGAATAGGAACCTGACCCCCGAACCCCACTGCTCTGGCCATGAACTGGCATTGGTCCTATGATGCCAGTACATCATAACTTCAGACACAAAGATGATACATGCATATAAAGAGGATAGTCATACCTAGGAAATCATAACTTTCCCATTGACACTTGACAGGACATTTTGTGCAGGATTTGTTACAATTGCATAACTGTAGTAGCAACAACGATTTCTTAGGAATGTGTATTTCTGCAATATAGGCCCTGTTCTTTCCAGATTCTGTGAGCAGGCCCTGCCTCATACCAGGCCTCTGATACGGGGGCTTATGTCTCTGGCTCTCTTCCTACTACAGCTACCATTATGCCAATCCTTGGGTCGTCTGCCAATTTTATCTTCTGTGATTTTCTATTTCATTCCATGTCATTGATAAAAGTATTGAATAGCATCAGGCCTAGAACTGATCCCAGCAGAACCCCACTGGAAACACCCCCATTCCCTGACAATGGTCTACTGACAACTGCATTGTGAGATCTATCAATTAGCCAGTTTTTAGCCCATTTAACATGAGCTCTACTGATACTGTACAGTGTTCATTTTTGTATCTGAATGTTTTCCCGTACTATGTTTAAGACTATCCTGTATTTGCTTGTTATTTGGCTCGGCTGCTTCCTGATTGCACACTTGTGGTTCTGAAGAAGAAGTGTGGTTGATCCATCACTTCGTAACTCTAAGGTTCTACTCTAGATGCTGTTTACCACCCTTCTTGACTGATCAGAGATTGGAAAGTATTTCATTGCGTCAAGTGATCTGAGTACCTCACACTGCTTCTTTCCACACGCAGAACAAAAATATTTCTCGAACATATTTTCCTTTTCTGCAACATTAACAAATTTACTTTCTCCCTCTAGTAATTGGCCTAAACATTTAACAGGATGTATTTTTTTAATATACTTAATAACATCCTTTTTTTATCCTTATCCCTTCCAAGCACAGATTTTTTCCTGATACCTTTCATGTTCCTTATCAATTTTCATAAATTCCAATTTGTATTACTTGTTGTCTATTTCCCCTTTCCCCCCATATGTTATATATTGCTTCTCCATTGCTGCCCTCCCTTTGACAGTAAGCCAATTTTTTAGTTCTCCCTAACTGTGGAATTGTGGCTTTTGCTATCTAATAAACTCTTCTTAAAGAACTCCTAAGTTTCATTACCATTTTTCTGTCCTAAATTTTCCTACCAATGAGTTTTGTTGGTAATTTGCCTCAGCTTTGAGGAATTAGCTCTTTTGAAGCATTAAGTATCTATATCTGTTCCTAGCTGCGAACTATTCTCTGTTTCTCCATCTGAATGTAATCCTTTCCATTCTTTTTCCACTCTCAGATTTTGAGCAATCGGATGAATGGGGAACTCCCTACAGCATGGAATTTCTAGCCTGGGTTTCATTGCATTAAGGAACAATGATGGATAACCAGTATCCACACTCTTGTTGCCTGCTGGTACTTCTTAAAGTTATCCACACCATGACATGTAGAAATTATTGACACATGGAGCACCATCAATTCTGGAATTGGTATTAGTAGGGTCAGTTGTTCATAATTCATTTATCTAAATAATGAACATGTCATTTTTAGTGTGTGAAGAGCCACCATCTGCTTCAGCCATGAGAACAGCCTCCAGGAGTGTATGTAGTGTCTCATATTAACATTGTCTCTCCATCCAGGCATTGTACTGCATCCATCCCCTAGAGCCTGGGCACATACAGGAAGTCAGGGGAACGTACGGTACATGCAGGAGTCACTGTTCTGCGAAAGAGTTGGACACCTTCTCCCCTACTCCATGTCAGATTCCAACACAACCGATTTGACCAACCCCTCCACCTTCATCCTGCTGGGCATTCCTGGACTGGAGGCAGCCAATGTCTGCATCTTTTGCACCATGTATGCCATAGCCATTTTTGAGAACTTCACCATCCTGTTCATTGTGAAGATGGACCCAAGCCTCCATGGACCCATGTACTATTTCCTCTGCATGCTGGCCAGCAGCGATCTGGTCCTGTCCACATCCATCCTGCCCAAAACGCTCATCATTTTCTTGTTCAATTCCAGGGAGATCGATTTCACTGCCTGCCTCACTCAATTGTACTTCATTCACTCGTTCTCAGTGATGGAGTCTGGGATCTTCGTGACCATCGCTTTGGATCACTACGTGGGCATCTGTGATCCCCTGAGCCATTCTGCCACCCTGACAAACCCTGTGGTGGCCAAAATTGTCCCGGACATAGTGCTACATGGTGGCATTCTCGTACTGCCCTATACCTTCCTGGCGAGGTGGTGGACATATTGTAGAACAAACATCATCCCCCACTCATACTGCGAGCACAGGGCTGTGGTGAAGCTGGCCTGCATTGACACCCACATCAGTAGTTATTATGGTCTCTCGGTGGCAATTTGGGTGACTGGTCTGGATGTGATTTTTATCGTCGTGTCCTATATCCAGATCCTCAGCGCCATCTTCAGCCTCCCCACAAAGGGCACCCGGCTCAAGAATTTTGGGACCTGCTGCTCCCTGCTCTGCACCATCTTAATATTTACATCCCAGTTATCTTCTCCTCCCTCACGTACTGTTTTGGCCACAGTGTGGACCTGCAATTCTATGTTCTCATGGCCAGTGTGTACCTCCTGGTGTCCCCCCATGCTAAACCCCATCACCTACGGGCTAAGGACCAAACAGACCCGGGACAGGCTGCTCCGGCACTTTACTCATACAGGGAATAATGTTTTTTCCTGGTGCTCTGGCTTTCAGACAGAGCTCCGTGCAGAGCTGGCTGGTGATATGATGCAGGACCCTCTTCCCTGAATCACTGACTGGACAGTCAAATAGACATTAAACACTTTCCTGACCTTGCCCTGCTGTCTCAGCATGACAAACTGAGTAATTGGTCTTTGTACAATTCTGTAACTCATAGGGTTGCCATCATTCTAATTGATGGCAACTGGAGCCCTGAGACCTACCTCTGCCCCGCTTCTTTCCCCTGCTCCACATCTTCCCTCAAGGCCCCACCCATTTTTGCACCTCTTTGCTCGTGTCTCCACAGCCTTCTCCATTTCTTCCCTCCAGGCCCATCCCTCTTCTCCCCTCACCACGCCACTCGTTGGATAATCTCCACCTTCCTCCCACACCTGGGCTCCTTCTGCTCCATGTCTGGGAAGGGAGCTGCTGCAGCCTGACAAGGAGCCTGGCTGCAGGTAGGAGGTGGCCACAGCTGAGCAGAGGCTGCCGTGGGTTAACGACCCAATGCCTCTCTCCGCCCCGCAGTAACCAGATACTGCCAGGTCCCCTTTTTGACCAGAATTTCTGGTTGAAATCTGTTTACCTGTAAACCCTTAATGGCACCTAGAGACAGAAGCCAAAAACATGACTGTCCGGGCAAAACCCAGATGGGTGGGAACCCTATTAACTCACGTTTGATTGTATGAAGTGCCTATATCCTTATGTCTTTGGGCTTTTACTTTACTCTTCACTCATACTCCTCATAGTCAGGGACAGGAGGCTGGGGCACAGACATGTATCTATACATAGGTTGTTCAAAGTAACTGCATTCTAGATAAAGCCAGTTTCCCCCAACTTCTCTGCAAAGGGGTTGGTGTGGAAGAAGTGGAACCTTCTCAGAATAGGGAACACAAAGAGAAGGGGTTGGTCCAGCCCTTTAAAAACAGAGACTGAATGAGCCAGAAGAAGCAGGGGAGAGGCACACAGGCAGCAGAGGGGACTTTTTGGTTGCAGGGCTCTGGCTGCAGCAGAGAGACAGACTCCAGCTGGAGGAGAAGCCAGGAGTTTCAGGAGGTGGCCGGAAACCCCAGAGGGCTCTGACAAAATCTCAAAGAATGCTTCAGGTGGTGAGGACACAGATGCAAGGAATGGTGTACAGGTGTTGTATTGTGCTTACCTGGATCTTGGTTTCTCCTGTGCTGTCTAAAGTAGAGGAATTGTTTTAGCAACCCCTTTTGCAAGGCCTGGGCGTGTTCGCTTTAGGACTCATGGGCCCCAAAAGAGAGAAACTGGAAACAGAGTGTGCCGAAGGGGGAGCTCTGGGAACATGTGTTGAAGCAATTGGAGAGTCTGCGGGAGCTGAGCCAAAAGTAGTCTCAGGGCCCTGGCATGCAAGTCTCCACTTCCAGAGGGAGGCGCTAGAACGGACGCCGCACCCCAGAGTGGGTGTAGAAACGCAGAGCCAGACACAGGTCCTGAATGCTGCTCTGACTCAAAAGCACATGGGTCCAGTGTGTGGGACCCAAACATACCTGCCTGGTAGGTGTCGAGCTGCGGGAGCTTAAGCGAGGCTGTGACAGGAAACCTGGAGCTGCTACACGGATGCTAGGGGACTGTGTGTGGAAGGGGAGTGGGGCTGGGTGGGGAGGTGTCCACAAATTGTTCTCTTCACCCAAACATTGCTCCTCTGCCCTCGGTGTTTCCGCAAGTGGTCTGGTTTCTGGACTGATCCAGCCAGAATCCCTGAAGGAAATGTTTCCTGAACCAGACAGTGCTGGTTTCGGGTCAAGGAGATGATTTGTCTCACCCTTGGGTAGTGCTCCTCAGAACAGCCTCCCTCTCTCTGCCACTTGTAATGTACATACAATCCTAGGGGCCAGTTACAAACACTTAAGGGGCTGTTATTCCATCAGTGTCAGTGGCAATTGCAGGTGTAGCACTGTGAATCGCTGCCTCTGAGAGCTGATCTGGCTGGGCATGAAGGCAGTGTGCATTACTCTGGTTATTAATCCACGTAAAACTACCCTGGCCATTACCATCAAGCAACCTGCAGTTGCAAACCGGGCAGGTGGCAGCTTCATAGACAGGGCTGGAGGCTGCTCAAAAGATGTGGGCGCTCGTACAGCAGCAGCTGCTGCCCTGTTCCCGTCTGCAGCCTTTGTGGGGATTTCTTGGCAGCAGGCTTGCTACAATGCTGCAGATCTACAGAACAAGGGGGACCCCGGCTCCCGTTGATGGAAGCAAAATGTCGGTGCTGAGGAAGGGTGAGGAACTCTGGGCTGACATGTTCAGTGAACATAAGAACATAAGAATGGCCATACTGGGTCAGACCAAAGTCCATCCAGCCTAGTCTCCTGTCTACCGACAGTGGCCAATGCCAGGTGCCCCAGAGGGAGTGAACCTAATAGGTAATGATCAAGTGATCTCTCTCCTGCCATCCATCTCCACCCTCTGGCAGACAGAGGCTAGGGACACCATTCCTTACCCATCCTGGCTAATAGCCATTAATGGACTTAACCTCCATGAATTTATCCAGTTCTCTTTTAAACCCTGTTATAGTCCTAGCCTTCACAACCTCCTCAGCCAAGGAGTTCCACAGGTTGACTGTGTGCTGTGTGAATAAATACATCCTTTTATTTGTTTTAAACCTGATGCCTATTAATTTCATTTGATGGCCCCTAGTTTTTATATTATGGGAACAAGTAAATAACTTTTCCTTATTCACTTTCTCCACATCAGTCATGATTTTATATACCTCTATCATATCCCCCCTTAGTCTCCATTTTTCCAAGCTGAAAAGTCCTAGCCTCTTTAACCTCTCCTCATATGGGATCCGTTCCAAACCCCTAATCATTTTAGTTGCCCTTCTATGAACCTTTTCTAATGCCAGTATCTCTTTTTTGAGATGAGGAGACCACATCTGTACGCAGTATTCAAGATGTGGGCGTACCATGGATTTATATAAGGGCAATAAGATCTTCTCTGTCTTATTCTCTACCCCTTTTTTAATGATTCCTAACATCCTGTTTGCTCATGGTCTCCAGCAGCTGGTCCGTATCAAGGGGTAGCACAAGATCACATATATTGAACCCAGCAAGTGCCCTCATCAGCTGTGTCAGTTTTGGCAGCTTTCAGGCTGGGGACACATTACTAGAGTGAAAGACCAGGAATTCTGAAGTGGGCACACTGAGGAATGCCACTACAAGGCCAGTGATCATGTTTGTGCCAAACTTCGGTGGCACAATATGACTGCCACTGCGCGAATATACAACCTGATCACCTCAACCCCTTTCCAGAAATTGATCCGGACAGCACTTGGTTTTCAAGGAGGCTATGTTCCTTTGACATTTGCCATGAAGATGATGATGATGATGATGACTGACCAGATGAATAGCTTCCCAGATGCTGTGACAAAAGGTCTATTGATCCAGTGATGTGTGTTAGGGTGAGGTCGACAAACAGAAAGTTCAGGTGACTTTCACTAAACAAGGAAAGTTATAGGGACATTTTCAGGGGGTCACGTATTGCACATGTGATGGGTAGCAGGGAAAACACTCTTTCCTTTTCTTTTTCTCTGTATCTTGGCTTGCTTTCCTCCTGTGGTACAGAGCAGAATGCAGTCTTTTTCAGAACATGGGTGTATGTCTTATATAAAAATACAAAATTAGATCTCAGAGAG